GTTTTGGGTTTTCGATTGCTTTTTTTAAAACCACACCCAGCAGTGCTCAGGCTTACTCCTGGCTCTGGGCAGTAGATCATTTGAGGTGTTGGAGATTGGACCAGTTGTACCCCATCTTGCCTCCTTAGTAAACTCATTTTTAAAAATTTGCTTATTGGGGCTGGAGTGATAGTACAGCAGGCAGGGCATTTACCTTGCATGTGGCCAACCTGAGTTCAATCCCTGGCATCCCATAGGGTCCCCCAAGCACCGCCAGGAGTGATTCCTGAGTGCAGAGCCAGGAATAAGCCCCGAGTATCACTTGGGTATGACCCCAAAAGCCAAAAAAAAATGCTTAAAAAATTTGGGCCTGTGCTTACAGTAGTGTTGACTTATGGTTTTGATGTGCATAATTATCTCACCTCTAAACAACACATCTTAAAATTGGGATGTTTGCTTAATTTAGATGGTAACATTAAGATAAGTTTATGTTAAAATCAAATCGATGAGTAACGGGATATCAAGTGATCAAGTGATTAAATGTTTATGAGAAACGGTCTCGTTCCTGACATTCCATTCGCTCTCAATGGAGTGAACATCTCTGAATGCAACAGTTATTCATTGGTTGAGAACTCAACATGACGAATGACCTGGCACCTGAGTTGCACAGGAGGAAGAGAGCGGTTTGGAACGCCTTCAAGAGTGTCAAAGAAATAGCTGAGAGGATGAAGAACCTCTGGTTCTGGGCACATCTCTTCGATTCCACTGTTCTTCCTGCATTAACATGCCTCAGAGACCTGGGCCCTACGAAAACAGGATGAGAATGCTATTCGGGTCTCCAAAAGAGGAATCGAAAGAGCTATGCTTGGAGTATCATGCTTCACTCAAGTGAGAGCAAGAATCAGGAGTTCCGACCTCTGTTGATGATCAAGAATCAGGGTCGCTGTCTTGTTTGCCAAGGCGTCCAAATCAGATGGGCTGGCATTGGTGGTATAATGGCGAGCATAGCTGCCTTCCAAAACCAGATGGGCTGGACACGTAATGTGATTTGGAGACGACTGCTGGACTAGAGCCGTTACCAACTGGATTCCATGGGATGTCAAAAGATCGCGTGACCACCAACCTACGAGATAGTCAGACTTCTTCGTCAAGACCCTGAACAATCAGTTTGAGGCTCTTCGTGTTCCTGGAGCGAGCAGGCACCATTGGGCTACAGTAGCACGCAACAGGGATGAATGTAGACATTACTGGCGCCTGCTCGAGCAAATCGATAAGTAATGGGATGTCAAGTGATGAAGTGATTAAGATAAGTGTTGATCTGGTGTCTAAAAAATGTCGTTTGCTTTTCATTGGATGCAAACCATACCATTTTTTTTTTCTCGAGGCTTGAGGCTCAGTCATTCTGCACAGAACCCACATCTGGTGACCTCTGGGTCTTGCCTCAAAACCTGGCCCCAAGTGTCCCCTTAGATTACAGCGATGACCCTAGCATTGCACTTTGTTTGGGTGGGGGTGGGGGAGGGGCCCACCCAGCAGTGCTCAGTAGCTGTTCCTGCTGTGAGCTGGACCAATAGCACAGCAGGTAGGGCACTTGCCTTGCATGGGCTGATCTGGGTTTGGTCCCCAGCACCCCAGAAGTCCTCCCTCATACCACTAAGAGTAATTCCTGAGTCAGGAGGAACTCCTGAGCACCTCCGGGTGTGACCCTCCCATACACAAAAAAAGAATCAAGGTGCTCAGGGGACCGTGCTCAGTGCCAAGGATGGAATCCAGGGTCCATCAATATTAAGCACCTGAAGCTGGAGAATTAGTACAGCATTTAAGGAGCTTGCCTTGCATATGGCAGACCCGAGTTCAATCCTCAGTATCCCATATGATCCCCTAAGTGGGCCAGGAGTGATCCCTGAGCACAGAGCCATGAGTAAGTCTTAAGCACCACTGGGTGTGACCCACAAACAAAAACTAAAAAACAAATCAAGTACCTACTGTGCTCGCCCCTAGCCCCCTCTGGACCTCTTTCCGGAAGCACACTGGCTCCTTCCCTATCTTGCTGGGCAGTGGGAAGGGGAGAGTGCACAGCTTAGTACTACTATTCTTGTTGTTGTTTGGCCCACACCTGTCGATGCCCAGGGCTTCCTCTTGACTCTGCACTCAGGGATCACTCCTGGTAGGGCTCAGGGGACCATATGGCTGCTGGGGCTGGGAGCAAGGTTGAAATTGTTTGTAAGGGGGCTAGAGGATAGTACAGCGGGTAGGGCATCTGCCTTGCACGCGGTCGACCCGGGTTCGATTCCCAGCATCCCACATGGTCCCCCGGGCACCGCCAGGAGTAATTCCTGAGTGCATGGGCCAGGAGTAACCCCTGTGCATTGCTGGGTGTGACCCCCAAAAAATTGTATGCAAGACCCCTGCCCTCCCTGCTTTACTATCTCCCCAAGCCCCAAGAGTTCTCACTTCCTAGGTGAGAAAATAGAGGTGAAGGTGACCACCAAGAGACAATGATGCACATCAGAGGACATCTCTGTCTGACTACGAGTTCGGGCACCTGATTGGGATGCCAGAGTGGGGGGCCATTGCAGACGAAGAATCCTACCCCCAGGTCTGGCTTCTCTGCTCTGTGGACTGTGGGACTTCCTAGTTCAAACCTCACGTGCTGTGAATGGGGTGTATGTGTGGAGCCAGTCTGGGCCAGGGTGCAATGGGGCATCCTTGAGAGCAGAGAGCGGTCTCCTCACCCTGGAGTGGGTGGCCCAGGAGGAATGCTGAATGCGTGTTTGTGGCCACGAATGGAGGATTTGGAAGGAAGGAGGCAGCAGAGGGAACAGAGTTTAGAACTGAGGAGCCAGGTGGGGGAGAGAATGCGGGTGTTTCACGCAATGTCAGTGGATGCCCCGCCCACCCTGCTGGATTCCTCCTGGGGAACTGGGTGCTGTGGCTTTAAGTGACTTCAGCATCCTCAGTGAATTTGCTCTGCTAAAAGAGTTATCCTCTGGCTCCTGCGCTTGGCCTCCCCCTCCTCTTAGCTCCCCAAACCCTTCTCGGCTGCTGTGATGGGATAATTAGATGCGAGAGCTCAGCACAGATGATGCTCCAGTTGCTTAGCAACTAATGGTTTCCATGGAGACCGCAAAGCACAGCCTCCAGAGCAGCCAGTGAGCAGCTCGGCAGGGCAGGGAGAAGACGCAACTCTCAGCTCCTCCAGAAACCTGGGGAGGGCCAGGGGGGAAGAGGGGGGGAACTGAAGGGAGAAGAGGGGGCTTAAAGGCACAGGGCCCGCTGCTTAGCCTTTCAGTTCTGGCCAGGGCTCTGCTCTCCCCTCCCCATTCTGTCCCACTCAGTTCCAAGGGGGTTGGGGGGGTAGGACTTGGACCCCACTCACCCCCACCGCCCTGCCACAAACCCAGACCGCCTTGTGCTTCCCGGTTTGTGCCTGATATGGGCAGAGACCTCACAGCCCACTGCATCCTCCTCCTTTGGGGTTGGTGGTTGTAAAGAGAACCTGGACGATCGCCCTCCCCCCTGGAATGCAGGATTGTGTCTGTTCCCTCCCCTGCTCGCTCCCACCTTGGGAGCACTTGGCAGGGCAGGAAGAGAGCAGTGTGGTCATGCAAAGGGGGCCTGAGGTCAAGGTGTTGGAAAAGCGGACCTGACTCTTCCACCACCCAGAGGGGGCCTAGCCTGGGGTAGGAACGGACAGGAGAAGCCCCTGATCATCAAAGAGGACCTGGGGGGGGGGCGGAGGGGGGGAGTTGTTATCCATACGAGAACTCCGTTTCATTTTTAAAAAGTCATATAGAGAGAGAGTGGTGCCAAGAACTGAACCAAGGGCCTCACACAGGCAAAGCAAGTTCTGCTTCAGAGCTCCACCGCTGAGCCTCTGGGGATCAAACCCGGCCTCTCCTGGCCTTGCTGGACCTTACCTGGGGGCTGTTCAGAAATGCAGACTTGCAGACTTCACCTCAGCCCCACAGGCTCCGGGCCACAGTCTGACTCACAGCTCAGTCATCTGGAGAGGCAGCTTGACCCACCCCCCACTCTTCTGCGCCCTGCTTGCAAACACCCAGGCCTTGAGCCCCCTCCCCCCACAGGGAATCAGGCCCCTGACTGTCTTGTTCAGGGATCAGCCGTCCAGGGGGTCTGCAGAGCTCTGGGGTCTGAGCGAGCTTTCTCCCCTCTGGGCCCAGCTGGGCTCTCAGGGAGCAGCGGGTCATGCAATGTCCGTTTCTCTCCTCACCTCTCTCTTCTTTAGCGTCACCGCTCAGCCCAGTGCTGCCAAGCAAGCCTGAGGCCTCCAATTTGATCCCGGCATCTCTCACTTGTGCAAAGCATATTCCCTGCGGCTGCGCCATCTGGGCACCCGCCTCTCCCCACAAGAATATGTGACCGCCCCCCAATATCACACCACCAGCAACAACAGGGAAGGGGAGGACAAGGCTGCAGCCCAAGGCTGATGGGAACCCCCTAGCCCCCCGCCAGAAACACCAGTGCCCACAGCTGGTTGGGTGCTTTGGGGCAAGGCCACCCTCTGTCCAGCGGGGACTCAGAGCATCAGGAGACTTGGGTCCTTGTCCCTGTGTCCGCACGCCACCTCCTCTCTCAGTCTCCCCCTTCCCAGCCAAGGCTGCTTCATGAGCTCCTTGTGGTAACTCTGTCCCTGCACCCCAGAATTTGCTGTCTTCCTGGTAAGCCCCACTCCAGGGTCCCCCAAGGGCCCTGCAGTGAGCTCCCCAGCAGAAGGAGGGTTCTTGCCCCCCACCTTAGTGACAGGCCTGTGTTTCCTGAGATGCTGAGATGGGGGGGCGGGGGGGGGGGAGTACAGCTCCCTCCTGGCCTAGGGGCAGCTCTGCATCCTGAAAAACCTGTCTGGGGGCATCCCTGGGGCTGTGGGCCCTGGGCAGGTTGGACAGGATTCCCTGCAGCCCCTCCCACCCCAGGACAAAATCAGCCACCCCAGGGGAAGGGCAGCACTGGCACCAGGAGGTACCCGCAGGCCAGCACGGCTCCTGCCCAGCTCCCGGACGATGGCATCTCGAGTGTCCATCTGGATCTGGCCTTGGCTCCTGAGTCTGCTGGTCGTCCTGGCCCCAGGGGCTGCAGGTCTCTGCCATCCCAGGGGTACCGGGTATGGGGGCGGAGAGGCTGGTGGTCTGGACAGGAGCACTGTGCCCTCCGGGGCTCTTAGAGGAGCTGGCATGGCCAGTTGGGGTGGGGGTCGGGATGGCAGTGCCCAGGTAGCTGACGCCCAGCGGGCTCACGCACAAGATCTTCCTCCTGAGCCTAGAGGCAGAGCGGGTGGGCAAGGGTTCAAGGGCTGTGCTGGGGGACAGAGACAGCTTCTGCAGCCCGAGGCTGCCCCCTGGTGGCCAGACCTGTGAAGGTCCGTGTGCTCCCCACTCCCCCCCCAGCGAAGGCTGGGTGGGCCAGGGGACCCCTCCACTGCTCCCTGTTGGGTGGGATGGACCTGGCCGCGGGGTGGGGGGTGGGGGGAGTGGAGCACTGACTCCTGCTCCGAGACCCCCTTCTGACCCCACAGTTCGCTTCAACATCTCAAGCCTCTCTGGTCTGCTGTCCCCGGCGCTGGCCGAGAGTCTGCTGGTACCTTTGCCGCCCTGCCACCTCACGGGGGGCAATGCCACACTGTCCGTTCGAAGGGCCAATGACAGCAAAGGTCAGCCTCCCTCCCTGCAGGACACCCCGGCATCCCTCATTCCGCTCCTGCCTTGCCATCCTGCCCTCTGATGCCACCCCTTCCCCGGGGGGCTCTTCTCTCTGCCTTTCGTCCCGTTTCCTGTGCAGTGGTGCGATGGAACTTCACGGTGCCCCCCTGCCGGGCACGCAGGGAGCTGGTGAGCGTGGTGGACAGCAACGCCGGCTTCACGGTCACGCGACTCAGTGCCTACCGGGTTACAAACCTAGCGCCCGGGACCATGTACTAGTAGGTACCGGGCCAGGCCCACCCGCTGCTGCCCAAGGGCTCCGGGCTTGGGATGGAGAATGTGGGGTAGACAGCGTGGACACAACTAAAGAGATCAGCATGGCTTGAGGCGCTGAATGCCCGGACACCATTCCGCTAGCCCCGGATGGTCCCCTGAGCACTGGTCCCTAGGAGCAGCCTCTGAGTTCTGCCAGGCATAGCCCCCAAAACAACCCCCGAGAAAGAGCTTTTCTTGGAGGAGGGCACAGGGAACATAGATATTTGGGGGTTCCCCAAATTGCAGCAGCTCACTGAGGATTCTCTCCACAAAAGCATCTCCTACCTGGTGACGAAGGGGACAGCTACGGAGAGCAGCAGAGAGATCCCCATGTCCACCCTTCCTCGTGAGTAACATCCTGGGGCCTCGCCCAGCCCCCTACCAGCCTCCCTCCCTCCCCCCCTCCCTGGACCCCAGCCCTGGCATTTCTGCAATGAGGTGAAGGAAAGGCAGCTGGTGGTGGTCAGGTGAGGCTGGTGGCACTTTGTGGCCTCCATACATGGAGTGTGGACACCTCTGGGCAGTGATGGGGGAGTACCAGGTGAGGGATGGTGACCGACCCCGCAGGGAGAAGAACATCTCAGGCAGGACCTGGCCCCTCCTGCCCACCTGTGTCTCCCAACAGGAAGGAAAGCGGAGTCCATCGGGCTGGGCATGGCCCGGACAGGGGGCATGGTGGTCATCACGGTGCTGCTCTCCGTCGCTATGTTCCTGCTGATCTTGGGTCTCATCGTGGCCCTGGTGCTGGGCGCCCGGAAGTGAGACTGCGGGGTCCTGAGTGCCTGTGTGTGGGGGGGGGCAATGCACTGTGCAGGCCCAGCCTGGGGTGTTTCCCCTGGGCCCCCTTTTCTGGGCCCCCGATCCTCCCTTTCTACTCCGGCCTCCCCTCCCCTCCTACCTCCCCTTGCCCATTCCACTCCACCAGTCCTGTTAGAACCCAGGCGCCTCCTCGTCCACCTCTTTCCTGTTCCCCCACAGCCGCTGAGCTTCCCCAACACAGGTCCCCACAATAAAGACTTTCCGGGGGTCCTCTGTCTGCTCTTTCCCACGGGGCTCTCTGCGTCAGCTGCTCCTGAACCCCATGGGGCTGCTTTTCCCAGGAGGAGCTGGAGGTCATGGGGTGAGTTCGCTCACTCAAGGAGGAGCCGGTGGGGGTGGTGAGGAATAAGAGGGCGCAGGGGAAGGCAGCTGGGGAAGCAGGAGGAAGAGCAGAGGGCTGACCCGGAAAGAGAAGGCCTGGGCTGGAGTGGAAGTACAAAGGGTGGGGCGTTTGCCTTGGCCTCGGATCCTCAGAACCCTATACGGTTCCCCGAGCCTGTCAGGAGACTCCTGAGCACAGAGTGACCAGTAAACTCTGACAACTGCTAGGTGTGGGGAGGGAGGGAGGGAAGGAGGGAAGGGAGGGAGGGAAGGGAGGGAGAGAGGGAGGGAAGGAAAGGAGGGAGGCAGGGAGGGAGGGAAGGAAGGGAGGGAAAGAAGGAAGGAAGGAAGGAAGGAAGGAAGGAAGGAAGGAAGGGAGGGAAGGAAGGAAGGAAGGGAGGGAGGGAGGGAGGGAGGGAAAGAAGGAAGGAAGGAAAGAAGGAAGGAAGAAAGAAAGGAAGGAAGGAAGGAAGGAAGGAGGGAGAGAGGGAGGAATAGAGGGAGAGAAGGAAGGGAGGAGGGAGAGAGGAAGGGAGGGAAGGAAGGAGGGAAGGAAGGAAGGAGGGAAGGAAGGAAAGAAGGAAGGGAGGGAGGGAGGAAGGGAGGGAGGGAAAGAAGGAAGGAAGGAAGGAAGGATGGAAGGAAGGAAGGGAGAGAAGGAAGGAAGGAAGGAAGGAAAGAAGGAAGGGAGGGAGGGAGGGAGGAAGGGAGGGAGGGAAAGAAGGAAGGAAGGAAGGAAGGAAGGATGGAAGGAAGGAAGGGAGAGAAGGAAGGAAGGAAGGAAGGAAAGAAGGAAGGGAGGGAGGGAGGGAGGAAGGGAGGGAGGGAAAGAAGGAAGGAAGGAAGGAAGGAAGGAAGGAAGGAAGGAAGGAAGGAAGGAAGGAAGGAAGGAGAGAAGGCCCTGCAGGGGGATGCCTCTAGATTGTGTCCCCCACATCCGGCTCTCCCTAATCCCCCATCCCCAAGAAGGGGCCCACCCTGTCTTTCAGAGCAGGATATGGTTCTGCTACTCCATCCTCTGCTCCTGCCCCAGAGGTTCCAGCCCCTTTGCTCTGTGGCCCAGACATGCCTCCATAAATTCTTAGCGGGTTGGTGGGATTGGAACTACACCCAGCAGGTCTCAAGGGGGTCACCCCTGGCCCTGTGCTCAGGGATTATTTTTGGGGGTGCTGGAGGTGGGGGTAATATGGGTGCTAGGGATCAAGCTTGGATGGGCTGCTTGCAAGACAAGGCTCCCACCTCTGTCTTCCTCTCCAGCCCCCCGTGTTGTGGTCTCTAAGAGAATCCAGGGCAGGGAGCCCCAGCTCACCAGGTGGAGTTTGCGCTCAGCAGGCGGGAGTCCCAGGTTCAATCCCCAGCACCACATGGTCCCTAGCATGAGCGCCCCAAACATAAGAATCTTCTCGGGGCTGGAGAGATAGCACAGCGGGTAGAGCGTTTGCCTTGCACGCGGCCAACTCGGGTTCGATTCCCAGCATCCCATATGGTCCCCTGAGCACCGCCAGGAGTAACTCCTGAGTGCAGAGCCAGGAGTAACCCCTGTGAATCGCCAGGTGTGACCCAAAAAGCAAAAAAAAAAAAAAAGAATCTTTTGGCTGGTCTCCCCTGGGGTTGGGGTTCACAGTTCCCCAAACCCTAGGAACTCTCAAGTGTGGAACTGGACAGAGGCACCTTTCATTATGCTAATGGGAAAGTTTTTAGAACCCACCTAAAAACTTTTCCAGGACCTGGACCCTGGAAAATCTACCTGGGGATTAGAGGTTTGTTTTTTTGTTTCATTTGGGGGCCACATCCAATAGTGTTCAGGAGTTACTCCTGGCGGGAACTGTACATGGGGTTGGGGATTTGAACTGGGGTCGGTGGGCTACTGGGGAAATCCCTTAACCCATGTACTATCTCTTCCCTTTCTTCTAATTAAGATACAAAATTCTAAATTTTTATTTGTGGAAAAGACACACATACAATATATTTCATTTTTTGGTTTATTTGTTGTTTGGGGACCACATCTGGCAGTGCTCTGGGCTTACTCCTGCCTCTGTGCTCAGGAATCACATCCTGTCAGGCTCAGAGGACTACATAGGATTCTGGGTATTGAACCGCATCAGCCATGTGCAAGGCAGATGCTCTACCTGCTGTACTATCATTCTGATCCCCTATATTATTATTATTTTTTTTCTTTTTTAAAATTTTATTTATTGAATCACCGTGAGAGCAGATACAAAGCTTTCGGGTTTCAGTCTTGGTCATACAATGAAACACCCGCCCCTTCACCAGTGCCCATTTTCCACCACCAAAAACTCCAGTATACCCCCCATTCCACACCCTCCCCCTACCTGTGGGGCAGATGATTTCCACATTACTCCTTCTCTACTTTGATTACATTCAATATTTTGACACCAGACCCCCCATTATTATTTGGGATTTTACCCCAACACTCAGATCTGCCGAAAAGCCAACAGTAAAGGTAAGGTAAAGGTAAAGGCCCTCCCGTTGATCGTCGATCTGCTCGAGCGGGCCCAGTAACGTCTCCATTGGAGACTTTGTTGTTACTGTGTCTGGCATATCGAATACTCTCGGTAGCTTGCTGGGCTCTCCGAGAGGGGCAGAGGAATCGAACTCGGGTCGGCCATGTTGGCCGCTTGTAAGGCGAACGCCCTAACCGCTGTGCTATCGCTCCAGACCCACCATTATTATTTGGGATTTTACCCCAACACTCAGATCTGCCGAAAAGCCAACAGTAGACAATTTATTTTCTATTGCTGGTTAACATATGATTTTGGAATTTTGAAATTTTAAGAAATCTGGAGGGATTTCTGCCAAAACCTGCTGGGTTCCGAGATTTGTTCCTGAGTCTCTGGGATCATGGCCATTAAGCAGCTTGATCAGGAGCCAGAAAGGCTGTTCGTGGGCGGTGACTCAGGATTTCGTTGGGGTGGGGAGGAAAGGGGCGGCTCCACCCACATTCGGTTAGGTCCTGCGTGTCTTGTCACTGAGGGCCCAAACCTGACCGTCCAGTGGCCTCTGGAGGATGGCGGTCACCGAGCCGCCAGGAGGAACAGGCCAAGGCATGAAGCTTATTCCCACCTGGGGTGGCCCGGCGCCGGTAACCTATTGCGGGGACCAGACGCATTTCTGCCAAAAGCCACTGGGTTTCAAGATTTGTATCTATATCTCTGGGATCATGGCCATTAAGCAGCATGATGAGGAGCCAGAGAGGCCATCGTGGGAGGCGACTCAGGATCTCGTTGGGGCGGGGAGGAAAGGGTCGGCTTCACCCCCATCCCGTGAGGCCCCGCGTGTCTTGTCACTGTGGGCCTAAACCTGACTGTCCAATGGCTTCTGGAAGATGGTGGCCACCGAGCTGCCAAGGGGGAGCAGGCTGAGGGACAATACCCTTTTCCCCTTGGGGTGATCCGGCGCTGGTAACCCATTGTGGGGACCGGACACATCTCTGCCAAAAGCTGCTGGGTTCTGAAATTTGTCTCTGAGTCTCTGGGATCATTGCCATTAAGCAGTTAGATCAGGAACTGCTTAATGGCAGAGAGCCCTTGCCTCCAATTATATAGCTGAGCTGATAGTGGTTTGTGGGTGTGTCACCCACATACCTAACTTTTGGCCATTTACTTTCTTGGTAAACTTTGCCCCAAGTTTGTGGAGTCTGGCCAAAGGCACAGCAGCAATTTTGGGGTATCTGGAAGTCTGAAGGCGCCGTCAGGCTGCTGATGCACTCGCCTCACAGGCACAGATTGACCTGCTGGTGGCACCATACTATATATATAATTTTTTTTTTTTGCTTTTTGGGTCACGCCTTTGCGATGCACAGGGGTTACTCCTGGCTCTGCACTCAGGAGTCACTCCTGGCGGTGCTCAGGGGACCATATGGGATGCTGGGAATTGAACCCAGGTCGGCCGCGTGCAAGGCAAATGCCCTACCCGCTGTGCTATCTCTCCAGCCCCCCTATATTATTTTTAATAAGGGAAATGATCATTGAGATGATCACAGTGGGTAGGACACTTACCTTGCCCCGGGGCAAATTTGGGTTTGATTCCTGGCATCCCATGTGGTCCCCCAAGTCCCCCAAGAGTGATTCCCGAGTGCAGCAGAATCAGGAATAACCTCTGAGCACACTTAGGAGTAGCCACAAAACAAACAAACTATCATTATGTTGGTCTCATGGGGAGAGCCCTAACAAAGTTCTCAAAGAAAGCCATTGTTTTAACTGTAGTTAAACTACAGTTTTAACTACAGTTAAAACATTTATTGACTGTAGATAATAAATGTTAAGACATACATGAAGAGAGAGTACAGCGGGTAGGGCACCTGCCTTGTGTGCAGCTCCCCTAGGTGTGATCCCCAACAACCATTCTGGTTCTCTGAACCCCTGGTGAATGATCTCTGAGTGTAGAGCCAGGAGTAAGCCCAGAGTATAGCCGGTGTGACTCACCCTCCCCCAAAACAAATAAAATTAAATTAAAACATTTATTGAGGGCTGGAGCAATAGTACAGCAGGTAGGGTGTTTGCCTTGCACACAGCTGACCTGTGTTCCATCCCTGGCATCCCATATGTTCCCATGAGCCCTGCCAGGAGTAATTCCTGAGTGCAGAGCCAGGAGTAACCCCT